CAGTCAGTTCTCCCACCATATTACACTCCCGATTGGATCACTTTCCAAGGAACATAATAGCAAAAAGAAACCTTTTATTAAAAACCAGAACCTAAGCTCCTTCAGAGTTGAAAGCAAAAATAAATTTCTCTTGTCTTTCTTCAATAGCTTGTCACTTTTGTGTCAAACCTCTAAAGTAGAGACTTAAAAAACTTCTTCTTGATCAACCTCACATCTGAAATTTTTCTTCCAAACACACTTAGACGTGCCTTTATGAGTGGACTTGAGAAATTCTTAAGTATCGTTGGCCCCAATTCAAGTGGTGTACAGTCTGAAATAAAACACTTATCAACTCCATGACAATCGCATTGATTATTGATCTTTTCTTCTATCTTCCAATCACTAAGATTATTTTAACCAGATAAACTTCACAGTTATATTATCATTGATAACCAAAATGGAATCACTCCAGCTTTCCATAAGGCATGTAGTACAAAAAATATACCTCCATGAAACTCACCCAATATACCAGGGCACCTGCTCTGATACCAATTGAAATTCTAGTACATGCAACACATACAAACAAAACTGTCTTAACAGTAGATGATGTCGAGACATATGTTACAACATCTGGTAACAAACCAGATCAATCAAGTTGAATAAGACACAAAAAATAAAATTGCGGAATGATAAATAACACAATGAGTTGTTAACCCAGTTCGGTGCAACATCACCTACTCTGGGGGCTACCAAGCAAGGAAGGAAGTCCACTATCAGCAATATTAGTTTAAAGCTAAACTCCCTCGTTTACAACTTCTTGCCTAACACCTAATCAATGTTACTTCTACATAGGTCCTCCCTAGATATGAGAAATCTCCATCCCATTTCCTAAATCATCTCAGTGATATCTAACAGTCACAATCCCAGTAACTGCTACAAAAAGCAACCCAATTTAGAATATCATACTTCTATTACAATAACTCAAACTCTTGCTTAAAAGCTTTAAGTGAGAACAATAACTTAACAAATTGTCAAGTAACAATTTGTCTACCACATAGTATCATAAGATACATGGGTGACTTATAATATGCACGAGAGACTCTCAAAACCTAAGACTTATGTTTCCCTTAATTTTACAATTGTTGAAAACTTAAAAAACATTAGGCTAGGATTCTTCTATATATACACCTCTATAGTCCATGGGCTTCAGTATTATGATCCAGAAGTTTCTTGATCCATAAGCTGAGTGATGCACCAGTTGTGCAAACAATCTCCTTCAATCTTGAAACAAACTGATACATAGTTTCCTAATTTGTCTCAAGGCCCAAATTAGTATCTTCTGTACAGCTGGAGACATAATCTTGTTACGAAATAAATCTCTTGACCTGCGAAAATCTCTGATATATATCCAAAGGAAATATCACAGAAACAAATCAAATATGTCAAGATTTAAAAATACAACAGCGCCTTGACTGCTGCACACCAGAACACGATGTCATGATATTTTGTTCGACATCTGGTCAGAACCATATTTTATGCAAAAGTTTCCAATCCCAAAACCATAGTGCTAACCGAATGTTTAGATTAGGACCCAATATTGTTGTATGCACTAAGCTCGCCATGAGCTAAACTCATTTATGTTGAACAATGTGAAGTTAATATTAAATAGTCATTCGTGTTAAATGATACATTGCTAGTGCTTTATTTTATCACGTGTTAAACTGCCATAAATTTGTTTCTTTGAATTATCACTTAGGAAAAGATATAATCTTGTTGTTGTGAGACCTCTAGCAACAAGTAAATTTTATGATAAAAGTGATTGAAAATAGTAGGATAAAGACATTCACTAAATTAGCTACTTTAGATATAAAGAGATACAATCATAGAAGACATTCAGAATAAAGCAAGGCATGCATTAAAGTTACAAGCGAGGCTTAGAGATTTGTCCCATTAATTTATTATGTATGTTTATAACGTTGCAGAGATACACCACGAGATTACTTTCTGACCTTTTCCGACATGATATAACACATCATGCACACATAATAGACAAAATCATATTAACATATCATTGTCCAACAAAATTTCCATTGTTGATTTCATATACTCTCGCCAAAGTATTCCTATTACTGTTTGCTTTAAAGAACTGGACTTGTAACAACAATGAACCATTTTTTACTATTGCTCGTGTTCATTTACAAAAGATAGTTTTACAATTAAATCTAAGTTATTTTCCACTCCCTGTGGGTTTGACATCCTTACTATTCTATCACTTGCTACTTTAAAATAGATGTATACTTGCATGTGACATCACACATTTTCAAGCAATAACTCCCAAGCATTCTCCATCTCTTTCACTGCCTTGGAAAGAGAAGTTAGGGCCTCCCCAAGGGTTTTCTCATTCTCTACCAACGACCCTTCAAGAAGAGTAACCTTTGCAACAATTTTGTAAGGAGCACCATATTTCTCTATTTCCTTTTGTAGGGTAGTAAGTTGCTCCTAGAGTTTGTTCCAATCTTAGGGGACAAAGTTATATTGGTTCTTTAAAGTATTTATCTCCTTCTTGAAATTGTTGGGTATCAGAACCTCACATTGACTAGCAGTTGCAATATTAATTAGGGAAGTACCCCAATGCATATGTAACTTCACTTATGCTATAAATTCCCACTTGATACTATCAAACAGGTTCCACATGTAAGCATAATCGCCTTTCAAGAAGCAAAAATGTACTTCCTTAATCGTACAAGTTACCTAGTCATGAAGAACATTTTAAGATATTAAGAAGAAGAGGCATCTAGGTTACACCTAAGACAACTTTCTATTGGGAATTTTACATTGGTTTGGAATTTTTAGCAAGGTTTCCCTTATGGTCTATATCCTTGTCCTGATCCCTCTTGGATGGATCACCACTAAGAGACTTTGATCGATCGTGGAGCCTTTTTCTCTGGCCCTCTATAGATGGATTCTCGTAGCCTGACCTATTCTCTTAACCAACTTGGTTTGATTATCCCAGGGCATCAATCCCATCTATAATGGATCCTACCGCTACTTCAATCGTATTAAGAATATGGGTTAGCCAGGGAAGAAGTTGGGGAATATTGTTTTTTGTATGTGCCTTTTTCCTCCTCATGATTTCACGAACTAGCCACATGTTATCTTCAAAACAAAGTGAATGTAAGGGTCAAATCAAATGTTACAAGAATAATAAAGACAAATAAAAGATGACTCCCTACTCTCTCACCAAAAACTTTATTCTTTTCAGCACTTCAATCACTTTTACAATTAAGTGTATTTTGATATACCACCTATTTTGTTGTGTAGGTGACACATATGAACGGAAAAATCCATCTTCAAAACCCAGGCTCTCCGAGAAAGTGACTATGTCCTCCTTTAACACCCATTTTCTTATGGCCAGAGCTTCCGCTGGAAATGAATATTGGTTTAGAGTCCAAAAAACATGGTACCGAGTCCAACCTTTTTGAGATTTATTCCCACATCTGGCCGACTCCGTACCATAGGGGGTAAAAAGGGTATGGTTATCTGTCGGAGAAACACATAAGCTAGAATGGACTTACAAACTCTTACGGACATCCGAGAAGTAACGATCTTTGAAATTCTTCCAATTATCAATGTAAACTCCAAACATATTCGGTTAATGAATTGAAATAAACCATTTCCCTTGTCCCGTTCTTGAATAAGTGTATGTCATGTTGAATATGTTGAAAAATAGCTTTAAAGTTGACATTCCATTCTGGTACTCACACAAAAGTTGGAATAACTTAATGAAAACCCAGAAAACCAGATGCAATTGGGAGGGAGTGATTCTCAAGTGGTTAAATATCCCCACTTAGAAATCATTGAAGGGGAACCTAAATCTCAATTAAATGAATAAACACTCATGAAATGATAATAAACATTTGTCAAAGGAGTTATAAAACCTTTTGCTAGGTTCGATAAGATACACGAACTAGTCAGAGGAACATCCTGATGGGTGCCCTATAAACTTTTGACACTACCGAAGGAGGAAGTTGTCCTCAACGTGTCCACGCCCACCCTAAAAATGTCCACGCCCACCCTTATTGGTCCTTTTGCACCATCTCCTCTCCAATGTCAACAAAAAGAAAAAGATTGTCATAAGTTCTAAAATGGCCCACGAAATTAAGATGTTCCCTAAATTATTTACCAATGGGCCCCCAACAATACAAAGACTTAAAAGCTCTAATGAAAGAGCAAGCCCTCGTATCATCATACATTTCAAGAGACCCACACTGAAGAAGGGGAACCAAAACCTGATTCTTTGCTAATGAAGAGATCCAAGTTTGCCTCTCTAACTCATGTTATAGGGCTTATTAGTGGCTCTACTGGCCATTACCACTTTTATAGAACCCTCTCTAGACTCATAATTGTCACTAAGGAGTATGAAATTGGTTAAATGGTGAGTACCTCTCAAAACAACAATATATTAAACTTCTGGGTCTACCACCCGTGTGCGAGATGAAGTGTCACTTATACCATCACCATTGGGTATGTCTATAATATTTGATGGCTCATCTTCTAAATTGGCCATCATAAAAAGAAAGAGCAAGAAGTGACTATGATAAACAAGATTGAGAGAAATGGCACTTGAAGAAGATTGAAGATGTGAAACTGAAGTTACGATGAAAATCACTTGAAGTGCGAGAAGTTAAAGGAGTTATGAAATTTGAAAAGGAAATGCAAACATGCAAGCAAGTCATCATCGGAGTCCGGGGAAGGATGATCATAGATGACAAAGAAAGGAAAAACAATTTCCGCAAAAGGTGAAACCTTGATGGTGGAGATGATCAATCATGGCATGCAAGACTTCTTTGTGCAATTTCATCCACCTAAATACAGTAACTTTTCTTTCCCTTTTTGTCTCATCATTCAACCATTGATTCATGTGATGTTCTTCTCTTCACTACAACTTTTTCTATGTGCAAATTGAAATGTTTTCTTTTGATTTTGTAGATTGTATATGTTTGTACTCAATCTGAGGTTTTATGCGTTTGGATCAGTATTCAACCGCTGCTACTGTGCGCTTCTTACCTATGGATCATGATGCTCTTGTAATTTTGCTTCAATTTTGTAGCTTAACTGTTTGCTCATTCTCCTCAATGAGGTTAACTTTAAGAGAAATGCTTTTAAACTATTCTTTGGTTTTTCTATATCTTTTTGAAATGTGTGCAAGTTGTAGAACATAAAAAAGTAAATGAGAGACTGAGATAAACACAAATGTGTGCATTTTGTTGTAACATTGAAGGTGGAACTGAAGTGGGTTTATGTTCTTCTATTTTTTCACTCACTTTTATTAGGACTCATTGTAAATTCTTATCAAGAAGGTGTGTGGAAGATAAGAGTGGAGCTACCTGATGCTTATCCTTATAAGTGTCCTTCTATTGGTTTTGTCAACAAAATTTACCATCCTAACATTGATGAAATGTGAGTTGTTCATATCAACTAAAGCTTCTTTGTTTTCTAAGGGACATTGAATGAGTTTTAAGAAGGAAGTCTAGGGTTCAAATCCTGGAAACTAACATAACTACTAACCTAATAACATTTTCCTGTCCAAAAAAAAAGGCTTTTCATTGTTTTCTATTGTATATAAGCAGCACCATTATTCTCCATGGAACCTATATTGACTGTTGTGGCTGTGCACAAGAATTGTTAGACTCAACAGTTGATCAAAATGCTTTTCTCTGATATTCAGGTTTGCTTCAGTTCTATGTTATCAAACTCGGTTGTTTCGGCCGTTATCTAGGCACGGAACGACACAACCAAGAAAACTACACCAGGTCATGATGTTTTGGCACATATGGCTGGCTCGGTTGGAACAACCGCGATAATGAGATTAGATTCAGAATGATGCCGCTCTGACGCAGCCGCTCCGGCCGCATATGCCGTATACATTATAGCACGGGTTCAGTTTGCTTAGATGTTATTAACCAGACTTGGAGTCCAATGTTTGGTAAGCATTATTAACAACCTATAGTACCTTATATATATTGATGGTAAAGAATATTACTAAAATTACACTTGCTTGCTGTGCGTTTAATTCAACTTTGTTTGATTGTTAGTTTTTCTATCTTGCATTTTTCTTATTTTAGTTAAGATCTTGTTAATGTGTTCGAAGTGTTTCTTCCTCAACTTCTTATAGACCCGAATGCATCAGATCCATTAAGTGGTGATGCTGCTGCCTTGATGATGCGAGACCATGCTGCTTATGAACAAAAAGTCAAAGGTAATAATCCTTGTTAAATTTCTAGTATGAAGCTTTAATGTCTGTTATATGCTCAAATAATCAATGCTAAAAGTATGCCAGTTTCTTATTATTGTTGACCACAAGTAATCATTTTTCATCTAATTTCAATTGGATTGAAATGTCACCAATTGATAAAAAAAAAGATTTGAAAGCACAAGATTGTGCAAAATGAATAATGTTCCATATCAAATGCATCCACACTTCATAAATAATGGATCAACTCCCACTCTAGAAACCAATAGAGTTTGAATGTCTTATGTTCTCAGTTGCCCATACACATGTCAACAGCATCCACATACTTATCCTAGTTTTGTGTGCTATAAGCTTTCAGGTTTGGATTCACATTGGGAGATAGAGTATTGTTTTTTCTTTTCTTTTTGGGTTGCTAATGGGAAATTAGATTTCTCAATTTTTTTATGTGGACCGGTCTTTAATTTATGTCAACTAACATTAATTCATTTTCACAAAGCAATCATGGATAGTGTAGAAAAAACAACCAATCTTCTTTGTATGAGGTAACATCGGCTATATGGCTATTGATGCCATAAAGTCATGTCATGTATTGACACATAGTTTAAATTCATCATGTTGAGTATGTTTATAATTTTCTTTATTAAATAGAAGTTCGATTTATAGTTGAACTAATTGGAGCAGGCTTTATTTAACTAGACAAATATGGATCCGAGCCCTCTAATTAATAACTCTAGTAATTTATTATCATCATAAATTAGAAACCCTAGTAGTTTATAAGCATCTTAAATTAAAAATCCTAATAATTTATTAGCATCATTAAGTGAAAAAATGGTTGTGTTTTTATGCCGAAAAAATTGACAATCATTGACTAATTCGGTTACCAGGAACTATTCGGAGGAGTGCTTCGAGGGAGAAAACAATTAATGTAGTTTGAACATGAAATGAGACAATTTTAATTTAGAGATTAGATGTGACCGTTCTTTTAAAAAGTGATCTTTTTAAAAATATTATTAAGTTAAGGTTTTTTATATATCTCATGTGCATGCATATTAACCGTGCATAACCTATTGGGTGGATCTTACATATTGGTCTTATGACTGTTTAGCTCATCATTTTTTGGTGGGGTGATTGAGATTTTGAACCTGCCACTACTAGTTGCGGCCCAGTCCTCCAACCTGCCAATATTATGGCAGAGACGAGAAAGGGGGCCAAAAATATGGCACGGACGAGAGACGGGGCATGTTGACCTTATATTTAATACATTAAACAAATATAATATTATCAAAACTATATTCTAAATCCCTATTAAACAATATTGAATTGAACCACTTTCTTTCTATAAATCTGTTTTCCTCTATTTAATGAAAATACAATAGATGAATAGTCATTCGATGATCATTTTTTTAATCGAATTAAGTATAGAAATAGAATTTCTAGGATTAATAACTTATAATAATAATAATGAGCGAATAAGTATTGAAAAAATATATCATTTATATTTGAATATCAAATCAATAACTATTTCTAATATAAAAATTAGAATAGTTATAAGATTCGATTTTCAATAATTCTATTTTAAAAATAAATGAATAGAATAAAAACAAAGAAGTAAAAAAGATATATATAGATTAGATATCAATGAATCTAAAAGTGAACTTTTTCGTATAAATAGGAGTAGTTTATATATAGCGTCCCAGAGCGGTGACCCTCTGCTATGGAGGAGCGGTTCATGTCCCATTTTTAGATAGCGGTCGCTATTTGAGGTTTAGCGGATAGCGGGAGTGGAGCGCTTTCCGGCCTGAGCGGATTTCATCAGTTTTGAAAGCGAAAACGTAGAATTACCCTTAAAGAAAAGAAACATTGTAGAAGTTTTGAGGAATTTTTTCCAATTTTCCCTAACTTAGAACACAACTGAGTAATCGGTCTTCTTCTCACATGCTATTACTTTAGTTTTCAAGTTTTCTTCTCACAAATTTATTCCTCTTCATCTTTTACTTTTACTTATTTTGTTTCTCGTCTATTTTTTTTTTTCTTTTATGGGTATTGTGTTATTTGTTTAGCACTATTACATTAAATATATATTTTTTAGATTATTCATATAAATAATCTTAAAAATAGTTAAATAGTGGTTATCCGCTCCGCTTCACTATTTGAGATCGATAATTGTGCCCTCCATAACAATTTATAAACAATAAAGACATATTTCTTTTTACAAATTATAAGCAAAAAAACATAAATTTTATTTCATTAAGTATTTTATTCTAAAAATGCATATTTTCTAAGGTAAAATTAAATACAAATTGTATTAATTTGCTTCTTCTGTCATTTTTCCATAAACAACAACCAATTTAAATTATTTTTACATCTTTCCACAAACTCTATTCCAAAAAAGACACAAATTTAGATTTTATTAATTATTTGAGTCAAAGATAAAAGGTTTGATTTATCGTAGATCTGACCTAATCGAGTCGGGCTTTATACGACCAGACTAAGATGGGTCTGGCTTTGGTAAAATTGGTTTACGAAAAATATCTAAACGATTTTGAAGGCTGGCTCAGCAATGCTTTTAAGGGTAATGCTGCCTGTTGCTTGGAAATTTCTGCAGAGGATTTTCATTCTCGCAAACATGAACTAGAGTCATCATTCGGAATGGTAACCTGGACGAGGCATATTGCAAAACATCCGCTTGATCCTGCAGCTAAACTGTTACCAGAACCTTCAAAGTGGAAGGAAAGAGACGTTCTCTCGGTGAGAAAACATGCAGAACTAAACCGTGGATCATCTTCCCAGGTATAATTTCGATGGATATAATGATTTTATACGTGATTTTACTCGTTGGATTTTCTCTTGTTTCATATCTTGAACCAGAATGTTTTCACATCAATGGTTAGTTATCTTTTTATTGTATTTACGATTAGCAATACAATGTACTTAATCTCTCCATCTAATAAATATATACTTGCAATCTATCGGAAGACTGCTGACACGACGAAGCCGAATTTGGATCTTTTGGTGATGGATTTGGGAGAAAAGCTATCAAGCATCGATCTATGGAGTTCATGGAGTGCTCAGAGAACACTCAGTGCTTTGATTTTCAGTAGACAAAACAAGGTGATAATTTAATAAATGCATCATAGCCTTGTTGAAGTCGAGAAAATATTTATTTGGATCAGACTTGTTTACAATTCTCCTTATGCTATATTCATAACCAGGAACCCGTTCCTTCACTAGGAAATATTTGGTGAACATCAACATAGAAATGGAGATAGAGGAAAGAAAGAATCAGCTTGGAGAGGAGTGGCTAATGTATTGAAACTTGCAAAAGCTGTTGTTTTTTTTTCATTAACAAGCCTTCTACCACATTTTAGCTTTTCCATTAACAAGTTCTATATCCATGAGAAAAGACCCTCTCACCAGAGTTGCCAGTCATATAAAAGGAGAACTGTGAAGATACCCAATGCTACTCCCCTACCTTCATATCTCACCTCTATTAAATAAAGCTTAGGTAAATATTTTAGTTTTGATTGTTGCCATTGATAGTCTTTTGTATGAGGTGTTTTATTTTTTTGGTATATTGTTTTAAGAATGCACCTCAAGAGCTTAAAGAAACGCCAACCCTTTGGAACAATGGTTAGCCTGAAGTTCCAAACGTGATCAATTATTTATTTTTCTCTAATTATTTTCTTTAAATATTTCTAAAGTAACTCTGAGAGTTCAAATTTTCTAAAGTATCTTTTAAATTTTCTCAATGCACCCTAATGGTATGTTTGGTAGTGAAAAGAAATTGAATAGAGAGAAAGAGGTGAGAGAGAGTAAGAGATGAAAGAAAGAGTTGAGAAATAGAGTAGATTTGATGTATTGTTTGTTAGAAGAGAATAAAGAGAGAAATAAAAGAGAAAAAGATGATATAACTTTTTAAAAAGACTAATATATCATTTATAACTAATTAAATTACTAATATATGTTGATTCATTTATGAATAAATTTAATTTGTTAATTTATTAATTTATATTTCATAAATAAGTTTATTATTTATTAATAAAATGATTATTTATTAATAAAATAATTTCCAATGCAATAGCAAAATTGGTTGGCGAGCAAGGCAACCATAATATCATTTTTTTTAAAACAATACACGTAACTAGTTTTAAAAAAATCAATGGCATATGAGACTTGTTTTGGATTGGGCCAACACTCGTCCTATCGTTGGGGAGGTCCAATCCAGCGTCTTTATCAAAGATTCAAAAGTATGCAGTCCAAGCGGAAGACTATTGGGCATATCCCCATGTGTTCATTGGGAGGACGTAGCTCACGTGTCTATATCATCATCATTCTGCCCTCCGTGAATAACGAGTCCAACTCCTGCTTTTTCGGGGCAGTTGACCAGCGAGGGGGTCACGTGTTGGACCCCATACACCTGTAAACCCTGTCAGTCTTCGTTGTTGGGCCTCATCGTGGCTCATCACTGAAGACCTTGGCCTAGCGTTGGGGACTATAAATACCCTCTCATTTGAGAGGGTCGGGTATTGTTTCACTTACTCACTCTCATACTTGTTTGCACTTGCTCTGAACCTCACTTTGGCATCAGAGTGTCTTGCAGGTACTCCCACCTCACATTCAACTGTTGTTCTACTTGAAGCTTGTGGGCTTTGACAATCCCTTCTGATCAGGTACGATCAGTGAGCCGTCTGTGGGAAACCAGCTTTCATGTCTCCATCTCAAGACCAAAGCAACTCTTCATCTAACTGTGCGATTGTCATGGCTGACAAAGCTGTCGACAATAACCAAAACACCCATCTCGTCGACCCCAACAACAACAATGTTGGCGACAATAATGTTGGCAACAACAATGCAGGCAACGACATTGACATGGCCAACCCCGAGCAAAGCTACAGAGATGGACTGGCCATCTCTTCATCAACCCGCTCGCAACCACGCGAGGACGACTATCATCCTCCATAGAACAATGAACCAAATACATACCAGGAAGTCCCTGTCCCTGCAGATGTTGATGCCACGATCAGAGCTCTGTTCGCGGCCATCAACCAGACCAACTACATGATATTCTCACAGGGTGAGCGACTAAGGATGCTCGAGCAAACTCATCGCCCCCCTAGAAGACACAGGAGACCTGACACTCCTCATCCCCGATGGAATGAGGACCTTCCCCAATCTCCCCCACGGAGAAACAGATGGGATGACTCGAGAAGCCCTTCTCCCCGAAGAACTGGGCGAGGCTCTACGTTGGAGAGGAGCCAACTCGATGTTGTGATGAGGCGCAATCAAACCCCCAGCGCAAGAAGCGACGATCCCCTGGACACAACAGAAACATGGGAAATGGAGAAAGACAATCTCGGCCAAGGGATCCTCCACGTGGCCTAGGACGTCAGAACGACCACCGTTACAACCGATACCCCTTCCGCTCTTCAGACAGAAGTGACGGAGACGACCCCCGCGGTCCATTATCCCAAACAATCACGGAGGCTCCTATTCCTAGGGGAATGGAGAAATCCCCCTACTAAAGTAGTACGACGACATTGTTGATCCTATCGATCACATCGACAGATTTGAGGCAATGCTCCACTACCACAATGTTGGAGGGCCAATTAAATATCGATTGTTCCCCACAACACTGAGAAAAACAACCATGGACTGGTACAAGAGCCTCTCCCCCGGGTCGATCACCTCCTGGAGGAGCCTCAAAAACCAGTTCATCAGCAGCTTCAACGCGTCTCGTCGACATCCGAAGATTAAGGCTTCCCTTAAGGAAATTGTCCAAAGAAGCGATGAGACCTTCAGAGAATACATTAGTCGGTTCAACCGCGAGACCATTCAGGTCCCGTGCGCCAATCACATGAAAAGCTACCTGCTCGAGAGGGGACTTCTCACGGGCACTGAATTCAGAAAGGCCTTCGGCATTGAGCCCCCCAGGTCTTTCGACGCTCTCCTCGAAAAAGCCCGGACATACATGGACTACAAGGAGAAAGAAGCATCCAATAGAGCCTGCAATTCAAGGAACTGCGGACCAGCTAACATTCTGTGGCACTTGGATGCGGGCCCTCCTCGACGGGCAGGGGAGAAGAAAAGAGAGGAGAAACTACGCGATTTTCGCAACCATAGAGGACCAGCAAGGTGGTTCATATACACCCCGTTGACTGCTTCCCGCGAGCGTATCCTTGCAGAATACTCTAATACTGAGTTCAAGGACGACGACGTCAGACGTCCACGACCAGCTCCTGCAAAACCCAGGGTAGATAGAACAAAATACTATCAGTACCATCGGAGCCACGAGCATTAGACGAAAGACTGCGTCCATCTCAAGGATGCCATCGAGACTCTCATCAAGGGTGGGAGATTCAGACAGTAAAGACGCAACGACACCCTCACTAAGACACCCGCGAGGTAAAAGAAATCGAGGAAGAAACTCGACCATCTGATGAATCGGGTCCCCTCCGAGTAGCTTACTCCGTGATGAGGCCCGAAGACTTCCACGTCCCCCACAACTATGAAGACGAACCCCTATCCACACACAACATATGGGAGAAATTCCCCTCCGCCATGATCATATCGGGCGGGGGATTCAACGACATCTCAGTGAATTCGACGAAAAGGAAACTCGACGAGTTGGTGGACGCGGGCCCAACCCAGGCATTAACCCTTGAAAGGTTCAAGGGAAAATTTGAGCCAATCATTTTCTACCTTGAGGAGCTGCCCGACAGAGCTCCGAACTCAAGCATTCCCCTACTGGTGAGAGCGAGGATGGCCAACTTCGACGTACATCGCATTCTGGTCGATGAGGGTAGTTCCGTCGACGTCATGTACAATCACCTGTTCCGTACCCTGCAGCTCAACGATACCCACCCGTCACCATACATGGGGTCTAACCTGCAAGGATTCAACGACTCGACCTCCAAACCTTGGGGATATGTTGATCTCTTTGTCACCTTCGTGGAGACCGACACTAGCCGAGTTGACCGTCGTACCCTCCATGGTCCACTTGAAAATGAAGTTCTGCACTAGAAGGGCCCGCGTCGCCACCATCCATGGAGACATCTCGGCCACCGGGAGATGTTTTCACGCAGCTTCCAAAGGGCAAAGCATGGTCGACACTGGAGCGCGACCCGCCAAAAGAGCAACCACTGCTCAACTTGAATCGAAGCCTGCTCAGTTTGAAGAACAACAGGCTCCGCCGAAGGTTGACTCCATTTTGCTCGACACCCGCTTTGACAAAGATGAAGTCGAAGCCCCTAGTGGTGAATAAGATCCTCTCCGACCCATCCCAGACGGAGACTTCGAGTTCATCCTCCTTGGTAAAGACCCTCACAAAGGCGTGAAGATTGGCGTTGGACTCCCCGACCTGGCGAGGAAGCAACTCAAAGCCTGCTTAAGGGATAATGTTGACTTGTTCGCATGGAGTGTTGCAGAGATGCCCGGACTCGACCCTGAGGTCGCCAACCACCAACTCACCATTGATACAGCCGTTAGGGCAGTAGTGCAACAGAGGCGTAGGCAGTCTCTCGAAAAAGCAAGGGCTGTTGAAAAAACTGTAAAAGACCTCCTGGAGGAAAATTTTATTTCTAAGGCCCGATATTCAACCTGGCTCTCAAACATTGTACTTATCAAAAAGAATAATGGAAAATGGAGAATGTGTATTGATTATACTGATCTTAATCGGGCATGTCCCAAAGATGCTCTCCCTTTACCTAACATTGATATGTTGGTCGGCTACAAAATTTTATAATTTATGGACGCCTACTCGGGCTATAACCAAATTCCAATGGCGGAGCGACAAACATTGCACCGCCTTTATGACCGACTCGGGAAATTACTTCTATAGCGTAATGCCCTTCGGCCTAAAAAATGCAGGGGCAACATATCAGCAGATGATGAACAAAATCTTCTGCGAAGAAATCAGAGACATGCTCGAGGTATACATGGACGACATGATCGTCAAATCCCAAGCAGAAATCGACCATGCTTCCCACCTCAAAAGAGTGTTCGCCCAAGCAAGGCAATGCAAAATGAGATTCAATCCGAAGAAATGCACCTTCGGGGTTAAGGCAGGCAAATTCCCTGATTTCTATCTAACTGAACGAGGAATTGAAGCCAATCCCGACAAGTGTCGAGCATTGTCCGAGCTTCCCACGCCTAACTCTAAAAAATTCATATAAGTCTTAAACGGTATGCTCACCTCGCTTTTCATTTTAGTGGCGAAGTCCGTTCAAGATGCATTACCGTTTTTCAA